CTTTACTTCTTTACCTAGCTACTTATAAAATAGTGAGCTTTCCATAACAATTGCAGCGGTGATACGAAGCTCCGGGAGGTAGGTAAAAAATCATAAATTGGAGGTCATGATACTTACCTTGTGCTTACAACAGACGGGCATCAGCTTGTGGCACAGTATGCACAGAAGCTCCCAACTCAAGGCCAACCTAAATTAGATTTCACAATAATTAGTACCATTATCCATGGTTTTGCGATTAAGGTCTTTGAGCGAGGGAAAAGTTTCCTAACGGAGTACCAATCAAATCTATTTTTCTTTCTCAGTCCACGTCGCTCAAGTACGCGTCCGGACCACTCCAATCAGATCAGCATGTTAACCACTTTTTGCAAAATGTCGAAACGAGTGAGCTGTCTTCCTCTTCCTCCACCACCGTCTCTCCAATCGCATCATCCACCTTTTTGGGTACACTGCCTCACGAATTCTCAGGCTTCAGGTCGACTCCGTTCTCTCCACATTCCACAAGTGTACAAACCAACAGCTGGAAGACTTTCCTGACGGGCAGTGGAAGCCTGATGGCGATGACAACAGCAGCAGCAGCGAAGCGAATGCTCTTAAACAACGCTCTAGAGCAATGGCCCCAACGATCCTCAACCAATGTTCCCATCACCACATCTGATGCGCATATCCTCAGTCCTCAGGACGTGCTTCGATTACCGCCTCCACGGCAGGTGCAACAATTTGTTGACTACATCAACCCCTACATTAAACAGAGCATTAGTCCACTGCAGGTAATTGACCCTATCTCACATGCGCATCACAGAATAAATCATCATCCCCTACCCTCAGTCCAAGTTTATTGCATATTTAATAGGTGCTACTGCTTCCATTACTATTGGACGTTGTAATTAGAATGTCTGAATAAATTAGCAGAATACAGTAATTTGTTGAGGAAATGCGACAACATTGTTCCCTGATGAGGACGTGTTTGAGGGTTTAAAATACCAAACCCTAGGTAAATCAACCCTCGCAGACCTGCAATTATCTTGCAAAATGCAAAAGTATGGCATGCATACTAGGTCCTTTTTTGTAAAACA